GCTGAACAACAGCTCAACCTGGAGCTGGGCTACCCTGAGTCGCCGGCTGCAGCCCTTGTGGCAGTGAGTTGCTGTGGGCTACCGTATGTAGCCAGCAGCCAGCGTTAGCGGCCAGCAGCCGCAGTGAGCGGCCATCCAGAAGCCGGCGACTGATCTGCCTCGGCCAGGAAGAGTGCAATTATGGTGCCAACTTGGGCCAGTGAAGCAACATCCTCCACAACTAGACTGAAGAACAAAATGACAGCAACTTGTCTGTTCCCCTTCCCCCCAATTCCCCAGCACTGTTCCCATCCCCCCAATTAAAAAAAATCATAAAAAAAAGATTTTTGACAACCTAATAAGCAAAAAATGGCATCTCGTTTAAATTTCCCTGATCACCATATAGTCCAGGATCCTTCCTTCTGTTGATTAGTTATTTATATTTCGTCTGTGAACTGCATGATCGTATCACTTTTTCCTTCACACCCCTCTCTCCTGGTCCATCTCCTAAACCGGTAGGAATTATCATGAAACACAAATCAGATCAGGTGTCCCAGTGTATGACCCCACAGTCTACAGGATTAAGTCTAACCCTTCAATATGACACACTTGGGCCCTCCATTTACAACAAAAATGCAAACACAGTAACATTTTCAACAACAATAGAAAATATTTATTGAGCACTTCTTGTGTGAGGTTCTAAGTACCTACCATATTATCTCATTTAATCCTCACAACAACCCTTTAAGATAAGCAACTATTACCAGTCCATTTTAGAAAAGAAATTGAGGCACAGGTCTGCACTCCACCTGAAGCCTCTGGTCAAACCACTCTTAATGGTCGGTACCTCAGCCATTCCCAGCTACCTGTACCACTGGACTCCCCTCCAGACTTTGCTGCCACTGTGGACATTCTAGGTCTGAAATGTCCTGCCCTTGGCCCCTGTTGCTTGTTGGGTGAATGATGAGTAATCTTTTTAGACCCAGTTCAGAACATAGTATCATATTTGGAAGTTATCTTAAAGGGACATCTAATGCTGTGTTTTACAAACTCTGGGTTGCAACTCACATTAAGTGGGTCAAGACTAGGATCTTTATAAAAGTGAAATACGATGGAATAAAAAAATATCAGAGGGCAGAGAGTGAGGCTGTTTCAAGGACACATGTCTTCAGGACACGCCCTGAAGTAAAATGCATTTTTTACTGTGAACAGAGGTCAAACCACCAAGCCATTCTCCACAGCGGAAGCCTGAGTGAGCTTTCTTTTCTGAAGCCCTGAATCTGTTAGTTTCCTACTCTGAAACTTTCTGTGCTTTCCTATTTCTGTTGAGATTTCAAAAAGAGAACAAAAACCTCCACAACACCTCTCCACGACCCACAAGGTCCTCCATCATCCAGCCCTTGCCTTGCTCTGGCCCCATGCCACCCAGTTCTCCTAAGTTCACCCCAAGTCTTTGAAGGTGCTACTCCCTCTGTCTGGAATGCTCCCGCCCTGCCCCTTACATCTGCTAACTCCCATTTACCTGTCACGATTCTGTTCAAACATCACTCTCCCAGAAACCTCAAACTCCTAGATTAGGTCAGGCCAGTAAGTTACACATTCTCAAAGCACACTGGACGTTTTCTTACAAGCACTTATCACAACAGTAATGAAATAATTATGTTTAATTGCTGCCTCCTTTCCTAGACAGTTAGGTTCCTTCTGTGTATCGACTATGACTCACACAGTTGTGGTACTTTGCTCACGGGAGGCATCCGGCCAATATTTGCTAATGAAAGAACGCATCTCCTGCCCAAGACAAGAAGCATCATCTCTCAGAAGCTGTTCATGACACCAGACCTTACTCCATACAAGGGACTCCCAACCATCACTGGACTCAAATGATAGCCACCACACTCCCAAAGCCTGTGCAATATGCTACACAGGATAAACGCCTTACCCACCATGCTCATTTTGCCCTCACAGAACTTTGAGAGGTTATATTATATTATTATTTTACACACTACAGTTAGGAAAATTGAGATATGTTAAGAAGAAAAAACACCAGGCTCAAGGTAGAGTAGCTTGCCCCCAGGACAACAAACCAAGACTTGATTGCAGTTTCAGACTCTACCAAGAATGTGACCTCAAACCAATGGGTCTGGAATTTCCTGATCAACACTGGTGAGGTAATATGCCAGATAAGACCTCTGCCGCCCTCCCCGCCCCCAAGAAGTGCCCAAGCCTGAAACATCCTCTTTTCTTTTGCTAATCACTTCCTCGTCTAGCCCAGGCCCTGACTATAGAAACCTTCCATTTTGTACAACTTCTCCAAGCGCCTCTCTGTGTACTAGATAGGAGCTGCCCGATTCAGAAATCGTTCGATTCAGAAATCGTTCAATAAAGCCAATTATGTCTTATAATGTACTCTATTGAATTTTTGTTATTCAACAAATAGTTGTTCAAAAGCAAATGCAACTGGTCAAGGGCAGAACCAGGCTTTGAACTCCAGCTATCAAAACACTAGACTAGCACCTGCGGTACTATATCACAGGTTTGTCTATACATCTGCCATTCCTTACTACACTACACTCTTTAGAGGCAGGCAGGCACCAAGGCGCTGGCAGGGTAGAGCCTCCTTAAACAGGTTTGCTATATGAAAATAGTGAGATGGGAAAAGGCAAGAGCAATGAGACGGGAGCAGAGCAATTGTTAGCATCATAAAATAGCCTGCCTGGTTGGAAAGGAACGATCCCTCCCAGGGTAGGAATCTCGGTAGAATTCCTGACAGTGGGGGACTTCCTACTCCTCCAAGGCAGCCTATTGTCTTGTAAATCAACTCTTATCTACGAATTCAATTAGATTCTGCAAACATTTAATGAGCATCTACTACATACAAGGCTCAATGATGGTGACTGAGATAAGGTGCAAATGGGATGAAAAAGTCTGTCTGGTAGGGGAAAACAGTCCCGTACTAGACCTAACACAGGTAGAGGGAAATCCAGCTACAACCAAGGTGTGAAGAATGAGATCTGAGAGCCCACAGGAAAAAGCAAAGAAGTACCATCAGTTGGTCACAGCCTGGGTTTAAAGGATGCCTAAGAAAACTCTAATTAGAACAAAAATCTCCACTTGAGAAGTAGAGAGTGTGAGGGGTGCATGTTGAGTGAACATAATTCTGCCTTACAGAATGACACGGAAGTCTAATCCTCTCCACCATGACAGTCTTTAAAAATATTCGTCCTCTCCAGTTTTTTCTCCTTTCAAGGCAAACATTTCTTTTTTTTTTTTTTTTGCCTAGGTCTCACAACAAACTCAGAATCAACATAGAAGCCTATCCTCCTCCAAATAGTAAATCTCTATGGAGCCTTCAAGGCCAAGATCAAGGCCACTTTCTCTGCTGAATTCCCTTGTATACTATATGCACAACCATAGCGTCTAAAGCTCCCCTGGGATTGTGTATTTTCCATCTTTATATTCCCCATAGTGCCTAGCACTGCGTGGGAGCATAAACAGTTCTCATCTTTGCCCATTCTTCAGATGTTGCTCAAGCCTGTGAACGTCCCCCTCTTAAAATGTGACACTCATTATTGAAAACAAGATTCCAGATTTGATCTGGTTAATATGGAGGGTCACTACCCATCCCACCCACCCAGCACACGCGCTTCTGTTAACACTTCTTTCGCTCTTAGCAGCCATGCTGGCCTTTTGGTCTTTTCCAGAAGGTCTGTTATTAAGCCTAACCCGGTATTTATTTGTGTAAGTCTTTACATTTATCCCTGTTAAATTGTTTCTAGGTTTTCAGCCCAAGGCTGCAGCCAGTTGATAGATATGTTTTTGAAGCACAATTCTATAGTTTGACATAGAGAAGTCTCTCTGACTTTCACTTGCATGGCACCAGGAATGGGGGTCAAACAGCCTTCCACCATAGGGTGGAAGGGGTCCCAGGGGGTTGGCCCTGGCCCTGGGTCTCCAAGGAGAAGCCACAGGTGCTAATGGAGGTTTGGTACATACACAGTTGGTGCCCTTTTCGTGTTCCCTGAGAGTCTCCCTCCTACACTGGGTCTCTTCTGGGATAGTGGATCCCCGAAGAAGCAGCCCCTCAACAAGGGGGCGGGGGTACCCGAGCACCCCGCGCCTGGACTCGCCGCCACCGGCAGGAAGCTCCTTCCCGCGCTCGCGCGACGCCTCAGGCCCCCACTCGACGCTCCCCTCCCCCACGCCCAGCGCTGTCCCCTCAGCGCCCCTCGAGCGGCGGGTGGCCGCAGGACCCCGACCCAGGCCCAGGGCGCCGAGGGAGCGGCTGCGCGGCAGGCTTTCCGCGGGGACTCGGCGCAGGGGCCCGGCGGGGGCAAAGCGGGCGGGCCCCGGGCGGCGCGGGCGGGGCGTGGGCACCGCGCGGGAGGGAGGTCTGCGCCGCCCCGGGACCCGCCAGAGCCACTGCGGGAGCTGTGTCCCTCCGCTCCCCGGGCGGGAAGGGTGGCCCGGCCGTGGGGGTCGTGGCGGAGAACTGGGCCCGCGATTCTGAGCCGGGGAGTGGGCCGGCCCGTACCTGGTCTTGAAGTCTCGGTTATAAATGGTACGCAGCTGCTCGCGATCTGTCTCCATGTCCAGCCCCCGAACCTCCAGGAAACTCTCGAAGCATTGGCCCGTCTCCCGGAGCTGCCGGCAGCTGAACTTGCTGGGCATCGCGGCGGCGGCTGCGGCCCAGGCAGAAGGGTACGGGGAAATGAAACTGAAAGTCGCCGCCGCGGCTGAAGTTGACGGCCCTAGGATGAGGGTGCAGCAGCGGGGGGAACCCCCTAACTCAGATCCCTGATCCTGCAGGGCCCCTTCTCCCCAACAGGCTTCCCTCCTCCGTTCTTTTCCTACCTGAGCCTTCCCTTCGGTCTCCGTCCTGTCCCCTCCCCCTCTCCCATTAACTCTTTCCTAAGGAGTCTGACCCCTCCCTCAGGGTCCTCCCCTTACCCCTAGCTCCCTCCCCTGGCTCCCAACCAGACTCTGAACGTAGCTACCGCCTGCCACCCCCCGCCCCCCAACAGTCCAGGAGGACTTCCCAGCCTGAGCTAAGGGCTACTCCCACGCTCATCCCCCGAGAGCCTCGGGATTTAGTAAAACGCAGGAGAGCAAAGGGCAGGGACTGGGACCTCGGTCGGCTGCAGCTAGACTGAGGCAGCTCATCCTGCACCTCCCCCACACTGCCAGGGACATAAACCAGTACGGAAGCGAGCGGCACGCCCCCCTCCCCCATTTTCCCTTCTTGGGCTTTCAGACTTAGAGAGGAAGGCATAAAAACCGAAGTTTGAGGGAGAGAACCAAGTGTCTCTGAGATAAAGGTGTCTACGTGTGGGAGGGGCAAGGGGCTCCGCCGGGAGGAACAGTCATTACTTTGCTGCACAGGCGTCGTTATGTGGAAAGGCTGGTGATCCCTACCCCTAAGCCATAGATTGGGGCACTTAATTGCACTCCAGTCTGTATTGCTCTTCGTTACTAGTGTATAAGTAAGGGTTGCCTCAGTCATCAAAATATTAGTTTGTGGAGAGCAAGACACTGTTATGTTAGGCAATAAATGGTTAATAGCTACAGCATCAGTACCAGGAAGTTAAAGACCCTACAGGTTTCAGAAAAGACTATCAAGACCAACTAAAAGGGGTGGGGCTACCACAACAAACATAAAGCCTCTGCATCTATTTCTCCTCTGGCATAACAAAAACACACTCTAGAATAGGGCAAAGATAGTAAAAGTTACGCAAAGAAGTTTTTCAACAAATCTACTAGGGTTCCAAATATATCAAAGGTAAGTGTTGTTCAAAGTAATTCCCTGGAGGAGGTAACACAGTCAATCTAACCTAGTGTTAGGAACGTGCAGACCCCAGGTCATGCTCCAGCTGGGCTATCCTCTACCTTTTCCAAGGCCAACAACCAGCTAAAGCCAGGAACAACAAGCTTCAGCAACAGGAAATGCAGTCAGTGGGAACCAAAGCTACAGGCATGGAGAAAACAGCAGAGGAAAACATGTTATCTCTTAAAAATTAATTATGCAATAGAGAGGAATAAACTAGGAAAGCAGCCAAAGACTTGACCCTTTTTCTCCCCTAATTACCTGGTGAGGCCTGAGAATAGTAAGGAGAGTGAACTTCTCGAAATTGTTTTGTTACTTGGCATTTCAAAAAACCTACCACCCACAGTACCCAAACTGAATGTCTGGTTCCATTCTGATCCGCAAATCTTAAGTCCCCATTATTCTCAAATACGTAATCTCCCTCTGTCTGGCAAGGCCTATCTCCTGGATGTTCTCAAAACATATACAGCTATAGTATAGTAAAAACTGAAAAAAATGTGATATTATGTGATTTTCATTACAATGAAACCTCTCCAAACCAGTTTCACCTGGGAAAAAAAATAACACTTCACATGGAGTTAACTGTTATCTTCTGACAAGACCCACTGGACAGCTGGAGTTGCCTGAATGGATTGGGTGGGAGATAAAAAAGACCCAGAGACAAAAGCTGGGATCCGGAGGTCCACCGTCTGCTGATGGTGGAGCAGTGGCCCAGTTTATTTTCTACACCAAGCTTATACAGAGGGAGCAAGTCCCTCTTTTCAGGGAGCAGTTCCTTCTTTGTAAAGGGGGGTATTGGGAAACAATTTCCCCTTAGCAAAGGTTATGATTAGCAAGTTCAACTGTTTGCAGGATCACATCCCATTATGCAGTCTGCAGTTTTAGTTGCTTTCAGCCTGTGGCTTCAGCTGCTCTTTGCTCTCCAGCGGTACAGTGGGGGTGAAACGTTCCCCGAGCTGCTCACCCAGGCACGAAGGCTTGCCAGCCTGCCAGCTTGCAGCCTTGTGGTCCCTGACTGCTCACAGTCGGCTCCCCACAATTTCCAAATATGCTGGCTAGAAGTCTAGAATGGTCTTCTTTTCCTCCTTTCACATCCAGCTCGGGTCTCACTTCCTGGGAGCCTTCCTCAAATCCATTTGCACTTACAAGAATCTAACTTTGAAGTAATAAGGTTGATTTTAGTATGGGTCCAAATAGCACCGAAGGCAATCTGCAAGTTAATTCTAGCCAATGATGTTAACTGGAATAAACCTATAGCCTCCTAAGGTAACTGCTTTGAAGATTAAAAGCTCTGTATTTTCTTAAATCTCCTTGCTCCGTAGTAACTTGGGTTCCACAATTCAGCATTTGAATGTTCTCTGTTACTCCAACTAGACTGTACTCCCTAAGGTGACTAGAAATGGCCCTTAAACTAAAATGCTGAAATTAGTCCGTCTACCATAGGCCAGAGGAGAGGCTGTGGGAGGTACAAGACGATCCTCATTATTTGTAAGTTCTGTACTTACACATTCACCTGCTCACTAAAACTTCTTTGTAACCTCAAAATTAATACTTGTGGTACTCTTGCAGTCATTCACGGGCACGTCCAGAGCTGCAAAAAAAATTTTTGAGATGCCCAGTGGGCCTGTTCCCAGCTGAAGAGAAACAAGGTGATGTTCTGCCTTCTTGTTTCGTCTCACATTATAGACGAAAATGTCCTTTTTGTAGTCTAGTTCGTGGTCAGTTTTTGCAGTTTTGTACTTTTTGTGGCTTTCGTTGCTTAAGATTGCCCTCCAAGCCTACGTAGTGCTTTAGTGCTGTCTGGTGTTTCTAAGTGACTTACAGAGAGAGTGCCTTTAGATAAACTTCATTCCAGCATAAATTACAGTGCTGCTGGCCATGAGTTACTTCAATGTTAATGAATAAACAATGTATATTAAAGGTGGTTTAGAAACACATATAAAACAAGATAATGTATTGATCAGGTGACAAAAATGTGACCAGAAACCTGCAGGAATCTACCCCTGTATTTCTCGTAGGAGCAGTGTTTCAGTATTTGCTGTTTGCTGGCAACATTATAGAAATAACTACTGTGAATAATGAGATTCAACTACATTCTCCTATACACAGCTTTTTTTTTTTTAGCTGAGCCATCCTGCCACCTGTTGGCAGCTCAGCTTGGGCCGGGACTCGAACCGCTGTTGCTCAGAGCTCAAACTCTTGAGCGAGCTCTTAACCGAGCCACTTGGCCGGCCCTAACAGAATACTTTTTGATACATTGTATTTGAAGAGCTGTGAGGTTGATTTCTACCCTCAGAGTGCTTAGATCTACCGTGTCTTTAGCTCTCCCATCTGTTCAAACAATTTTAGTTAACTCATCTTTTTTTCGTTTGTTTTAAAGATTTTATTGAAGAAGGGCAACAGCCAAGTTGTTGTCCTTCAATCTTAGTTGTGGAGCATGCAGCTAGCTCAGCTCCAAGTCCAGTCATTATCTGGCCGTCCGATGGCAGCTCGAAGCTGCTCAGCTCAACGAGCCGTGCTGTGTTCAATCTGTTGCAGGTGGACATAGGCCACCATCCCATGCAGGAGTCAACCAGTAATCTTATTGTCAGGAGCATGTGCTCTCACCAGCTGAGCCATCCTGCCACCTGTTGGCAGCTCAGCTCAGGTGCAGCATCACTGGCTCGTGTGGGAATTGAACCGGCGACCCTGTTGCTCAGAGCTCATGCTCTTAAGCTAACTCTTAACCAACTGAACCACTTGGCTGGCCCTCAACTTATCTTAATGGACCATCAGTTTGGTTCTATCACTCTTCCTTCCTTTGATTTTCCATGTAGCAGGTAGCTTGGTAGTTCCATAGAAAATTATACTTGTCATAAATTGGCATTTGGATATGTATCATTTTGGGGGGAGTTGGGAGAGAATGTGCCAAGATTTGCCAAGCATCTCATGAACCCAGATGAATCCAGCATCCAAGTTCTAAATTATAAAACAGAGAACAGGTACTGGAACTATTGTAGGTAACTAACAGAAGCACAATCACCCAAGCTCAAATGAAATAAATAGTCTTCAGCAGTGTAATTCCAAACCCAAATATAGGAGTGACGCCTCACAGAAAACTTTCTGGCTGGAAAACTTTGCCCTAGGACACAACAGGATAAAACAGTCACAGTTCAAGCATGTATTCTGCTGAAGGTTAAGGAACCTAGATCTCTGTTGGACTTGGCAAGGAGGGTTTACTTCCTCCTAATACAAATAGCCAAGGGCTTTCGATGGCCAAGACGCTGAGTTTTTACAAGTCTGTAGGGGCTAAGGAAATCTATGGGGTAGCCTGGGTGCAGGCTGAGTGACTGAAGGAGTCAGAGGCAAACGCCTTTATTAGAATCCGTTTGTATTGCTAGTACAGAATGTAGTAGTTACCTGTCCCTCCAAAAGGTGGGAATCTGAACTGGCCGTGTGTGTGTGTGTGTGTGTGTGTGTGTGTGTGTGTTGGGGGGGGAGGTGGGGGGAGTGGTGAAGCCCTGAAACTCCCCTGGCTCTGAAGGGAGCCAGGATAAAAGCCTTTCCCGTATGTCTGTAGCTCAGTCAGACTTGCATGGAAGGAACATAGCACTTAGAATTAAGTCAGTGTGAGATATTACCCAAGTTAGAGGTTCGGGGATTTTACCATTTCTATTTCCTGCTTAGTGGCTATAACCATAGTGGGCCTTGATTTCTGAGTGGTAGGTAGAACAGACAACTATTTTTCTTTCTGACAGAAACGGAAAACCCCAAACACCTCTGAACCACCACACCAGTAGACTGAGTGAAGAGAAGTATGAGCCATAGAGACAGTGGTCTAATTGAAAACAAACAAAAAACAAATGCCTGTTCTTTCGC